TCTTTAGCTGTTTTTAAATCAGCATATTTCATCTTTAGCTGTTTTTACTCAGCTTACTTAAGGCTGAGCTGCTGCATCTTGTCCTCCTTTTGTGCTGAATACAGAGGAGGGGCCGTGCCCTTGAAGTCCAAACACCTCAGAGTCAGAAGCGAAGGTAACGATTGGTGCACCCATGCCCCCCATCCGTCCCCGAGGGATTTCAATAGTGAATGTTTTCAGTTTTTATAATGGGAGTGTTTTTCTGGACTGAACAGGGAATGTATCTGAACCTTCATGTTTTGGAGTGAGATGTTCCAGTGTGTAGGAGTTACTGTGGAGAAGAACACAGGTAGGTTGTTGTTGTTTTTATTGTCCAAGGCGGCGCACAGGGATGGATCCTGGTGAGTGGAGGGAGCAGTTTTATCCTCCACCAGGTGGTGGAGCCAGTGGGTGGTCAATGGCGGCATTGACCACCATAAATTAATCCCCACCACCACCACCACCAGTCATTTGAGGAAACTATACTTTTAAGTAATATAAAAACTACAAATCATAACCAGATTGTTTATTTATGTAAATCTCTGAAACAGTGGGTGGCTTGACGTTCCCCCGACCGTCTACACGCATCACTTGTGTACGACGTGCGTGTGAGTAGAACTGTTGTCGCAGAGCCGCAGAAAAAGACTTCAGTTGATGAGGAGTCTGCTTTTGGTTCCAGCTAAGCCAAACTGAGCCTGGATAAGCTTTTCCAAACGGAGCTCCGTCCCTCTTCGGTCCCATCAGGACCGGGTGCTGGACTGAGTGGGACACCTGAAGGCAGCAGAGGACGGACTAAAGCTCCGCTGGGAACTGTGTCAGGTTATCAGAACCAGGACAACTGAGTCAGTCATCAACTTCCACACAGTCACTCAGCAGAAACAAGATGCATCTGCAACTCGTTTGATCCGTCACGTTGTAGTTCAGTAGATCTTCATAATTCATGTTTGGAACAATGACTGTGTGAAAAAAGTACTCTAGGGCTGGGATTTTACCAGGTTATTTATTTACTCTGTGGCACACCAGTAACTTTGCTGCAGCTCGCTAAGAGGTGGAAACACACCTGAAGTTCACCTGACAGCTGCACAGAGTGGAGAACCAGAGGAACGTCCTGGATCCACGTTGTTTGTTAGATGGGACAGTAAAAAAATAAAAGTACAGTGGTGGTGTCATGAGAACATCATAGCTATGTGAAAATTATACTGAAAGGAATTGATAAGCACAGCTGATATAACATGTTGGTACCGGTACTGAGGAGCTGCCCTGCTGGCAGGAAGGAGTCTGTGCAGTCCAACCAGTCCACAGAGACCAAATGATGGGGCTCAGAGCCCAAACAAGAAAACTGTAGCTTGAAATAACATTTTTAATTAGGGATGCACCAATCCACTTTTTTTTTTTTTTACTTCCGATCCGATACCTAAATCTAAATATCGTCCGATACCGATCCAGTTCCGATATCATGATCATCATTATTGATTTTATATGAGGCTGTAATAATCTCCTCTCAAGTATAATTTGTACAAATATATGCATGCATGTCCAAAAAGGCAACTTGAGTAAGATGTATTAATGTTGGATAAGTTTTAAAGTTAGAATTAAATTCTGCTAACACAAAACATGTTTCTTTTTATTCCTAGCTTTAAAGTGGATATTAAAGTGATTAATTTAAGTGATTGTTTAAAGTTATTTTATATATTTAAAAAAAAATAAGGGGCAGATATAAGAATTTTTTTTCTTCTTTTTGAACTCTTTTCATTCAATGTTTTCTTTTTGATGAATTTGTTTTGTTTATTTTGTTTCTTTTTTTTTTTTAGTTTTTGTTTCTTGTAATTTTCAATTTATATGCTTTTTTATGATTGTCTACTGTTGTACTGATAAATATCTCCTGCAGGTAAACTATATCTTGGCTGCAAGTATCAAGCTGTGAAATCTTAGTTTTCTACAACTGATAGTGGTTGGTCATTAATTATGATGAAGTTTAGCAACTTCTCTGTAAACATTCGAGCTTCGTGGCTTCAGTGGTGTGTTCTTCTCGATCAGTCTGAAGCAGGAAGTCTGATTTGGGGCAGCCGCGCTCAGTCTGTCCCTCCTCAAAGACGGGACGACTGAGCGGGGCAGATTGGACGCGGCTGGCCGGGGTCAGGCTGCTTGTTTCGGACTGAGCAAGAGGAGTGAACCGCTGAAGCCACGGAGCTCGAACGTCCATCGTAAAACTAACTTTACCGTGGTTTAATGTGGTGCTATGGCTCTGCAGACATTGCATGCTGCTGTCTTGCTTTGTGGTGTTTAGTGTAAAATACTTCCACACAGCGGACATGTTTAGATGAAAAGTTGGTTAGCTGTTAGCCACAGTGCTGCTCACGTGGCTGCAAACTATGAACTGGATCCTGAATGTGAGGCGGGTCTTCTTACTCTGTGTTCATGAGACATGCCGCCGTTCAGGAAATCCATTCCATAGTTTGAAGCCAACGTGCAGAGCAGCTGGCAGGGACTCACATGACGAGATGTTTCATCAGACACAGACATGCATCATGGATCGGAAATCTCTGCAGGTTGGATCAGAAAAATCCGATATGTAAATGATGCTGGTATCAGAGCCTGATACCGATACCGGATCGTCCCCATCCCTATTTTTAACCTATTTACGCAACTACCTGCCTACGCACAAAAATGCCAACTTTTTAAGAAGACTGCAAAATTAGCCACACATAAAAAAAAATGCTAAAATGTATTTTTGTTCATGGATAATATTTTACAGATAGAACAGATGAATGTTCCATTTACGCAGATGAACTCCTCCCCGAGTTCAGCGGGGGGTGGGGGGGTCCTGTGTGTCGGCCATGACATCCGTCAGGTAAAACGAGCCTTCGGAGGAGGACGACTCGTACTCTTGCTGTTCTTATTAAATTCTGTTTTACATTAGACCTTTTGGTTTCATTAGCACCTTAAGCTTGCACTAATCTGCCATTGTATACAATAAATTAATATTCAACATTGTTTAAGTTCAAGTATATTTATTCATTATTTCAGCCATCAACCATAATTTATTAGAAATAATATTTGACTATTGTGTCTAATCTTGCTGTTTGAATCAAGATTCAGTGCTTGAAAGGTCAGTAATTAACTTTTTATTTCTTAATTAGGCCCCAGCCCTCGTTTACACCGCTGTTTATTTTTTATATAAAAAGTGGTTTAATTTTTTTAAATAATTTAAAAAAATCAGTTGCAAAGTGAATAAAAGAATGACTGAAGTAAAAATATATTTAAAACATTTTGATCTAAAACAATGGATCAGAATGTTTCCCCCGTCGATATAAAAAGTGTTACCTGCTTTAAAGCTGAGCTCGTCCGCCTCCTGACCCGTGTAATCATAGAGCGCTCGCACCAGCACCCCCTCTCCCTGCTCCTCCTCGTCGGCCTCCCCCACACCGTTCATCACCAGGGCCTTTTTGGGACTGTCCTTGTCGGACCAGTCTGATGAATACTCCTTCACCCTGACAGGAAGACAAACAGTTCAAACTCACACCAAACTCAAGAAAAATCAATGTTTTAGTCTAAACGTTGCCGCGGCTGTCCCAGTCTGAACACAGCTTGTTGTTCAAGTCCTTCAACAGACTGGATTCATAAAGAACACATTCTTACAGACTGTTGTTTTGACTTTTTCCACTTAATTTACAAGCTGGGTTACTTTTTGTGGCCCGAGATTCTTCTGTTTCAATCTCCAGACTTGCACTTTTTTAATAATTATTTCACCGAGTCTTTTTTTTTAAAGAGGTGACAGTCCTGTGTTTAAACTTTACATCAGCACCCGTTTGGAGCCAACGTGATGGGACTAAACCAGAACAAAGAGCGAGTCACTGCAGCTGCTTATTTTAAGCAGCTGCAGGGATGTAAAAAAAAAAAAACATATTCATATTGGCCATGATTGATTCATGGCAGCAATAAAAGCATAAAACACCCCAGGGGGTGAATATTTTTACAGGCACTGCACCTTTGAATCCTCAGTTTTATAAAAAAAATAGTTTAATTGTGAGCAGATCAACAAGCTAAAGACTAGTCTGAACAGGGCCACTGATTAAGATATTCCTTTTGGAAGTGGCCCAGCCTGCAGACAGGGCTACAGCTGGCTGCTGCTGCTCCTGTGGCTATGTGTGGGAAAAAAAAACTGTAAAACTGGATTTTAATAACAGTGTAATGCACAGCTGAGAGCAGTATAAAGGTCCATCAGAGAGAGGGAATAGCTGATGCTCAGTCTGATCAGCCTGAGGAGCTGCAGGCGACGAGATTAAACATTCTGGTAAAGTGCAGAAGAGTTTGTGAAGATAGATTGCTGCATCAAGCCAAAGACAAAAAAATATGAACTAGAGCCCGAGTGATATATCAGTAGGGCCGATACAGGTGTTTGGGGGACATATTGATATCGGTGATAATTGTCCCATTATGTGCCGATATTAGCACTTCTAATTTTCACCCCTAAAATGCTGAAACCAGCTGTAATTGTACAATGTATCCAGCAGAGGGCCAAATGAAGACTACAGTAGTCCCTCGCTAATTCGCAATTCAATTTTCACAGACTCGCTCATACGCGGTTTTTCAATGATTGTCAACTTTATTACTCACGTGATTGGGAGGCAAGAGATCAAAAGTTAACAAAAAGAACTTCTGACAGGCGCCTCCATTTTGTAGTTTTCTTTCAATGAGCCTATACTGTATCGTCAGTCAAAAGAACTACACTACCCAGAAGACAACAGTGCTTCCGGCCACTGCTTTCACCAAAATGGAGGGAAAGTTATGATCTGATCCGAACCTGACTAGAAAGTTTGGTCCTTATTCATAGTGACTTCGGCCCTCAATGGATGCAGAGCCGTAAGGAACCTACCGGGAATTGGACCAGGATTATTTCCAGCCTCATCGGTCAATCTGAGTGCTGCTTGCTGGCCCAGGAAGCCTCTCAACCGGGGAGGCATGGCTTGGAAGTCTGGTGTCTTCTCCAGAGCCCACCCAGACCTTTTTCATCTGGACTCCTCTGGATTGTTTGGACTTGACTGGGATCATTATGTGGTTTTGCGCTGGCTATCCAAAGGTCCAGCTCCCTCTAAAAGTGTCTTGGTGCTGAACGGCTGCAGACAGCCGATCAGAAATGGACCAAGGCTGGCGAGTATCCATATAAAATGTTGCAGTAGCTACTATACAGTACATATACACATATGTTGTTAAAACTATGTAGGGTTAAGAGCTTAGAACATTGCAAGAGTGTGAGAAGGGTTTAAAGCCTTAAAAAAAACATTCCTACTTTGCAGTTTTTCACCTATCGCAGCGTTGTGTGGAACGTAATTATTCATTCAACCTTTATTTATACAGGTTGGTCTCATTGAGCCACGAGGACTCATTTACAAGAGAGACCTGTTTTAGACAAAGAACACAGATGAGGTACAGACAACAGTAGACATGTAACCATACTGTAAACCAGCTGATTACACAGACTCGTCAGAATCAAGACTGAAGTTTTAGATGGCGTCTGTTCTGTTCCAGTTAAACACAAGTCTTAGTTTTGTAACATTGTTGTGCATTAATTTAAAAAAATAATTGACACCAGCAGATTTGCATCCCTGTGATAACTGAGGGACTACTGCTTTCAAGTCATTGCAGTTTACTTAAGTTTCACTTTCCCATTCAGCACAGCTGAAGTAAGGATACTGTGTGGCATATTTTACTGAACAGAGCATGGTAAGTTTATTTTAACTGATCTGTAAAATAAATCAATAATAAAATCTCTTCAATCCTCTAACCCACTTGTCATTAGCTACATACCTCTCAAGTTAGCAAGCTAATGTTTAGATAACCTAGCATCATAGGCTCCTCGAGGCTCAATGGGATTTACCTGTATAAATAAAGGTTGATTGATATTGCCTTGTAAAACTCTATCCTGAAGAATAAATCTAACATAGCAGTAAATATATCAGTGTTAGTAACGTTATCTTTGTTGTCCTCAATGAAACGCACCGTTTGTCCAAAATATTTACCTCTCTGCAAAGAAAAAGAATTAACGCCGCTGCGGTCAATACTACTGTGATTTTCGGACGATTGAGCACACTAAGCCGCGCCCACCAAATTAAAATAATAATATTTTTCCCCCTCATTGGGAGGAGGGATTCCCCCATCCCTTTTCTCCTCCCCGCTTTATTGGTCCACAGTGACCTGTTCAGTAATTTAATTGGTCAGATTTTTTTTTCTTTTAACTTTTATCTACACAGGTAGTCTCACTGAACCACGAGGATCCACCTCCCAAGAGTCGTGTATTGGGCCTGGATGTGACGAGACTAAATGTTTAGGTGGCATGAAGATTGTTCAGCCGTCAAAAAAAAAAAAAAAAAAAAAAAAAAAATCCATAAATTTGCAGCAGCATTGTATAAGCCACAATGTTCAAAGCGTGTGGAAAAAGTAGGGGCTTATAGTCCAGAAATTACAGTAATCTGGACTTCACCATACGTGACTGTTTAAACAATGAACAGGGAAGGTTCTTTGTTTAATTTATATTTTTTGTATCACACTTGATAACTTTATGATGAATAGTAAAGGACAGAAAATGTGAACACACGTTAGGAAGACTGTTTTTATGACCAGTGCACCACTTGTAAACCTACTGTGGGACTATTGTGCTATTTATAAGGCTGAGCTGAATGCAGCTCCTCAGACTGAAGAAGTCTTTCAAATGAAAGACTAAATGTTTCTATAATTTTTTTGTTTTTTTGAACCCGTCCAGAGGACATGATTTAACTTTTTTAGATTTTTCCATCTGCATTTTTGAGCATGCATCAGGCTACTGTGGGACTACGTATAGTGTGAATCTGATTAGCTTAGCTTCATGATTGCTAATAGTTGTGCTAAATAAGCAAGCCCTGCTCCACTCGCTGGTTTTAGATTCTTGAGGGTGGACGAAGCTAAAAAATTTCCAGTCATTACATTGGTTTTTGGCGGCCACATGCCCCACCCAATTGGCATCAGCGATAGCCGTAATTTCCATATCGATCAGGCTTTAAAGTGAACTAGCATATAGCTAAAGCTAGCTTGCTACAGTCATAAGATAGAGAACTTTACTAATTGGCTTTTATGTATGTGAATGTTCCTGTAAAGTGCCCTGAGACAACTTTGTTGTGATTTGGCGCTATATAAATAAACTGAATTGAAATTGAAACAAGTCCAGTGTGCAACGCTGTACAAGCTAAAGGTTACGGCCGTCAAGCATCAACATGTACTCTGGGTTTCAGACGGCTCTCGACAGAACATCGTCGCTACACCTGTGGAGCTGGGCTTTCAAGAGAAATGCTCTGATGCTATTGCTTTCCCCATCATGTCTACCACATGCACACCTGAATCTTAAACTTCTGTATCTCTTGCAGATATGATTCCACGTGTGTGGCAGTTTTTGTTAAAACAAGCTCAATCTTAAACTCTAACCCAGTATTATAAATTACAGATGCCAGTGTGCTGCAGAAACTCTCGATACACTGCTGCTATCACTGAAGTGTGCAGTGTCTTTTGCTCGGGCACATTAAATACTTTTCATGTGACGACTTCAACAGGTAAGGAAACATTTTCTTAAAAGTGCACCAACACTGCACAAAAATGGTGCACGTTGATCGAAGTTAAATGTGCGCTGCACTTCCTTCACTCTGATTTAATTAGCACACTTTGCAAAAATAAACATTTTAAACATTAAAAAAGAGGCTTACTTTTTATTGCTAATTATTACACCAGTGTGTCTCATCACTTGTTAGAGAATATTTCTATAGGATGAGCAGCTCTGAGCACGAGGAACAGAAAGTAGAACAGAGGTAAACTTTAAAAACTGAAAAACTAAAACAGACTTTTTTCCTCAAATACTTTCCAGAGCTCCATCCAAAATATTAAAACAGGCTGAGAGACTATGATTTGTTTTTAAGCTGTGCAGATTTGAACACTCGGGCAATCTGATGAATGGTTTCTTTCATTCCCCATCAATTTGCTCTTCTTTGGCTGATTCAGATGGTTTTTACCATACAGGTCTGTATCGGAGCCAACATGAAGGGATTAAATCAGAACAAAGAGTGGGTCACTGCAGCTGCCAGAAGAACTTAGACACCAGTTAGTAGATAAACCACCAGAGTTGGAAGCTGTTTCCAAACATCCTCAACTCCTACACTGAACACTGGCTGCAATAATTACTAGATCTAAACTTAACCCGTCTTTTTCTTTCCTCTGGTGGTAGAAGATGAGAACATATAGAAGCTCCCCTATTATCCATTTTATGAAAGGTCTGTTCATCTACACGTCTTTTCTACCCAGTGGAGTTACCACTTTTGGTTATGGCTAAGCCCCACTGCAGCCTCTCTTCTAATGGGTATAATGAATAGGTCTATAACTTGAGTATTACCCAGAGTAATTTTAGACTAGTTCAGACAAACAAGGCTAACTCATCAAAATATTTTATGTAAATGTTGGGCTGCAGGCCCAGGCCTCCCCTAAAGAAGAGAGCTGCCATGTCAATGGGAATAAATTTTATCACCCAGTAGCCCCAACATAAATAGCCATGAAAAGCTTAGAAAGCCTTGTGCTCTCCTGCATCAGAACCACCAGACCTGGACAAGCAAACTGAAGCCCTTCAGAAAGCCCTCCGCACTGCCTGGACACACCTAGAGGAACCAGTCAGCTATGTGACCATGTCATTGGTAGATTTCAGCTTCATATTCAACTTGGTTATCCCTCACACACTGATCGATCGTTGACTTCAGGAGGACTCTGCAGATGGAGGAAAACCTGACGTTCCTTGGAGTCAATGTGTCCAATCAACTAACCTGGACCTCCAACACCTCGTCTGGTTAAGGCAGTGGTTCCCAAACTTTTTCTGCTGGGGCTCCCTTTGATTAATAAGAAACCTTTGGTCCCCCCACCCCCCTGGCTGTCACATGGACAGCACCTTCCCATGTGACAACCATCAGGACTAGCTGGGAAACAGAACAGCTGTTTGATCGGAGCCCATTGGGCTTTGACAGGTCGTGTTTGATGTAGTTTACTGTGGCAGTGACATCACTCATTACATCATCAGTTCAGGACTCAGCTGTTGAGACACCAGTGCTTTGAGGTGTATCATGCAGTGTGGCCACTGTGTGTTGGGGGAGACGCACTTGCAGCCCTCCTCGTCTCCCAGCGTCTGTGCAGGTGAAGCCAAAGTCAAGATGAATGCTTCTTCATATTTTCAACTCTTTGGCTTGGAGGAAGATGGAGAGGCTTCATCTTCTGCTTTGTGTTTATGTGGGAGCCCCGTTAAAAACCTGTTTATTATGCTAGCTGTGTCCAAGCACCCCCCCCCCCCCCCCCCCAAATTCAGTCATACCACCCCCTAGCAATGGCGTGCCACACTTTGGGAACCACTGGGTTAAGGGATCCTGCATACTCCATGCAGAGAAATCAGCTCTACTGATGTAGCTGTGTGATGAAGATCATGTCATTTAGTTCTCAGAGTAGCTTTGTCCGTCCCTTCTCACCCAGGCTGAACTGTTCCTCACAGGAGCATGGTGCGATTGGTCAGAAATTTGTGGGTGTGTTTGTTAATGTGTAAGAGCACTCAGAGAGCGCTCAGTCCATTTGGGACAATAGGATCCCACAACAACAAACTTAAAAACCGCTTCTTCCCTAGATCTGTGGCTCTCTCCACCCCAACTCCCACAACACACTGAACCATGAACTGCCAACCACATCCAACAGCATCCAACATCCACATCACCAACAGCCAGAAAACTAGTTTTCTTCATCTATCACACTGACAAACAACACCAGCTGTAAAACTTGTAAAATGTGTACATATAAACCTGTATATTTCAGCTATACCACTAAACAATTTGTAGAAACTTCTAACAAAGTGTACAGAAATCTACAGACGATACATTTGTATGTTTATAAAGACACTTCAGTCCTGCTTTATTTTCACCCTACCTCCATTATTTTATTATTGCATGTTGATATAGAAGGACGTCAAACATAATTTCATTGTACACGAGTAAGACGACAGTAAGTTTTTTCTTCTCACAGGATGAGTGTAGCATGACGAAAAGACTGCTTTCTGCTTCTGGGTGATGTTCAGGATAAAGCCCGCAGGGGGAAGGCAAGGTTACAACACAAGCTGCTGCTATTTCTGACTCTCACATGCACGCACGTGCACGTGCGCACACACATGCTCAAAGAGACTAATGTAATCCTATGTTTAGTCTGCATTAAACAACCCACGGGTGCATGCTGTTCAACAGAAACTACAGTTTACTGTCCGAGTTGCGTGTCTGTGTTTAAATACACAGGAAAGACGAGCTCTTTAAAGTCAAGTGGACAACTCTGACTAGAAACCCGTCTGCTGCAAAAACAATTATACTTTTAAAGATGGAACTTGTGTATTTTTTATTATAAAAGAAGTCAGAGTCACTGGGCAGACAGTGAGTGGATATGGTAAATGGACTGTACTTATCTAGCACCTTTCTATTTTATGAAGACATTCAAAGCACTTCACAACAATCTGTGCCTCATTTATCCATTCATACAGCTCTATACTAGATCTCTACAAAGATAATTGAACAAATCATTCTAAAGAGACTAATCAGAGCTTTATCACATTCATACATTAATGGGACACACATCAGAGGCGATGACGGGTTCAGTATCTTGCCCAGAGACACTTCAGCATGTGACTGCTGGTGGATTCGAACCCCCAACTCTTGCACTGGAGGACGACTGCTCTGACCATTCAGCCACAGCCACTCCAAAATGTCCAGAACAAATTTACAACCAGAACAAAGAAGCTGCTGAAGCCACATGTCCTCCTACCTGCTGGTTTCCACAGTGATGGGACTGGGCGGGGTGTCGCCTCCTCCTGATGAGACGATGTTGGTGAGGGTGACCACGTTCTCCTTAGAGTCCCCTCCTCTCTCCTTCCTGCTGATGGATCGACTCGTCTCCGGAGACCACTCCTGAAACACACACACACTTTATAATTCTGTCTTTATTAGAGCACTGGTTTCTGTAGCATAACCCTCAACCTAACTTTAACCAACCCACCTCACAGCACAGACCTAACCCTCAACCCAAAGACTTCCTGTTTTGTTTCCACCGGGCTTCGGTGGCCAAAAGTTAAGAAAAAGATGCTAAACCATTCTACTTCAATAAAATATTATTTAGATAAAAGTGCTGCACAGAAGGAAAAAAAAAAGAGTGGGAGACTAAAAAAGCTCAAGAGACATAAATTATTTTAAACCAAACCTTTATGGTCTTAGACGACACAACAATAAGAATAATAAACAACTGGGACACACCACCCCATCCCCAAGATATCCAATAAAGTCATGTCTTCAGCACAAACAAGAAAACCAGTCATATCAACAATCATGTAAATATGATTGTTAAATCCTGCTTTTTCCAGCTGAGGCAACTGTCTAAACTGAAGCCCATATTGTCCAGAAATAACCTGGAGACAGTAATTCATGCATTCATTACATCCAGGCTCGACTATTGCAACTCACTCCTTTTTGGTATCAGTCAGACCTCCATAGCTAGACTCCAACTGGTCCAAAATGCAGCAGCCCGGTTTTTGACCAGCACAAGCAAAAGAGAGCACATTACTCCTGTTTTGGCCTCCCTACATTGGCTTCCGGTTCACCTTCGAATCAAATTCAAAATACTCTTGTATGTCTATAAATCACTTAACAGCTCTGCCCCCTCCTATCTTACTGATCTGCTCCAGCCGTATGTCCCACCACGTTCTCTCAGATCAGCAGACCAGTTGCTCCTAACAGTCCCAGGAACCCGCCTCAAGCGCAGAGGTGACAGGGCCTTCTCTGTAGCAGGCCCAAGACTTTGGAATGAGTTACCTCTGCTCGTTAGACAGGCCCCCTCCCTCACAGTTTTTAAATCTCGCTTAAAAACACACTTCTATTCCCTGGCTTTCTGCACTGTGTGATCTGTGCTGAGTCTGTGTGCAACACACTGTGTTGGTCATGTTGCAGTTGTTGTTGTTATCCATTATTGTTTTTGTCGTTTTCTACTTTTTGGTGTCCTGTTATGTAATCTGTTGCTATGTGCTTGTTCTGTTTGTCCATGTACAGCACTTTGGTGTGCTTTGTCACTGTTTAAAGTGCTATATAAATAAATTGGTATGGTATGGGATGGGATCAATAGCAAAGTAGCACTAGATTAAAAGAATTAAAGTAGTCCCTCGCAACTTCGTAGTCCGTTTTCACGGGTTCGCTATATTGCGGTTTTTCAAAGTAAGATAGGACATGACACAGTTGGCTGATTGATGGATGAGCCATGGGTTGTTAATTTAAAATACATTTTAAATGATTTTGCACCATGTGTGAAGCCCACAAGTGCAGGGAGAAACTCCCTCCTGCAGCTGATCAGCTGATCTCCTTCTCTGCCACACACACATTTTTCCTGCTGCAGCTTTGTGAAGCTGTCCAGATGCACCGATCGACTTTTGTATTCCAACTTTATATACGTCACAATATACTTTTATTCAGTAAAGGTGAGATGAGTTTTAAGCACATTTTCGATATTTCCATATGTATTACAGCATTTCACTGACATTTCTTTTTCTGTTCAGGTTGAAGCGGCCGCTTCAATTTCAACCCGGACAGAAAAAGGTGTGATACAACTACGTAAGTGCGTGGTGACGTAATGTTACGCAGAGCTCAAGTCCAGAAGGAGTGAGCGGTAGCAGGCTAGGCTAATCTCCAACGTGCGGTAAGTTTTCTCTTCAAAATGAGTTCCCATGACCATCAGAATGTGACTGAACAAGCTTTCACAAGCCAAGAGAGAGCAGATGACATAATTGATGAGAGGAAAGACTAATTCATCGGTGTGGACGTGGTTCGGCTTTCTAAGATCTGATAAACTGCAGGTTTCAGTCAGTGTGCTGTAAAGTGTGACGGAGAGTCGTTCCAGCTAGCGGCGGGAACATCGAACTTGCTCCACTCGATAGAAGATGCTGAGGGTCAGAAGATGAAGCACAATAAAAGTTTGAGTCAACGTGTCCCTGAAACCCCCCCCCCCCAGCTGTATCAAGAGAAACACTCGTTTGCTGCATGGGTTAGGTTATGGTGTTGTTTAAAGTTAAAACTATTAATAATGACAAAGTTGTGAGTTTTATGTTTATTTGACGGCGACTTCAAATTTCTTTGAAGGCTAAATACAAATAAAAGGTGAACATTAATTTATTTGTACAGTTTTTCTGAGGCTTTTATATTGTTTATATCGATATCGGAATTATATCGTTATCGACCAACATTTAAAAATGTATCGTGATAAAAGTTTTGGCCATATCATCCAGCTCTACCATAATCACAAAATATAAAAGTTATTTTTAATTATTTTAGAACTTCTATGTTCAGTTGTTTCAGTGTAATTGATCAAGAAGTACATTTGTGCTCCGTGCTGCAGAGCTGAAGCTGTGTGACATCCCTCTGATGTCCTGCTGCACTTCACTTCTCTACCATTTAAATAGTGTAACATTTTAAATAAACAATCCATGCTGCATGGATTGTTTATTTAAAATGTTACACTATTTAAATTTAAATGGTTTATCTAAGGAGGGAGATTGGGAGTAACATGTGATGAATGAGATTACAGTCTGGCACATGTCATGACAAAGTTTACTGAACTTGAACTACTGTATCTCTACTTCACTGTTTTTCTCTTATCACGGGTGGGCGTGGTCCCAAACACCCGTGATAAACGAGGGACTACTGTACACGGGAAAAGAAAATTCAAAATATTTGATGTTACTGTAATAATGGCACAAAAACTAAATTGAAATAATTGAACATTTTTAAGATAAATGAAGATAGCTGTGCAATAAATCACAGCAAAAACAGTCTAATTATGGACTTTTTAAAAATATATATTTTACAATGTACCCAAGTATAAATTCTCGTTTAAATTCACAAATACTTGTTTCTATATTTTTGATTCTGAACATTACCAGAAGAGCCTGACACCATGAGTTTTACAATGAAACATTGTTTTAATCTGGAACCACCTAAAGATCAAGTTTTGTCCATCAGTTATTTCAACATCACCCTAAATGTACAAATAACAACCTGACAATCATTCACATTACAGAAGCTCGTCTTGGTCTGGTTAAGAAAAGCTTTAAATGATTGCGTTCCCAAAACACTAATATGTCCATCGAGGTATTTTAAATACGGAGACATCCAAAGAGCAGTTTAAGTACAATACTTGTAAATATGGCTTGTTCAGATTAAATATAATGACAATGACCGTTTTTATGTAAAGTTTTTGTTTTAAACCCTCGACGGAATCATGTTGCCTCCAGGCAGCAACATTTAATTAGTAAATGCTAACATTTTGGAGGGAAACCAGTATGAAGCAGTGAAATGATTAAAAAGGACTTGTCTACTGTGATCTGTTTTTCATGAATGTCTCGTTCCCGCTTTTAACTGAAGTGCATTTTGACTCAAATCATTATTTAATATAACCCTCAGTGTGTAAACTTTTCTAAATCTCAACATTTCATCAAATATGCCAATTACAAAAAAAGAAAATGGCCCTGAAGCACCATTATACCGTAATTAAATGTCACAAGGCAATCAGAGCGGTGGCACAGAGGTTAGAGAAGGTGATCGGAAGGTCACCGGTTCGACTACACGGACTGACAACATCAAAATGCGGGTGGAAAAGGTGAAGTACCCACACCTGCCTCCACCATTATTTGCCCCACTCTGGGCCCTTGAGCAAGTCTCTTAACCCCCAACATCTGCTCCTAAACAGGTCTCTCTTGAAAACGAGTCCTCATGGCTCAATGACACTACCTGGATAAATAAAGAGTAAAGGAAGGAATAGGATTCACAACATGTGCAATAATAAAACACAATGAAAAAAGAAAAGTGAGACCAAGTTAAAAGCAACTTTTCCATCCCAACAATTACAAAGACAAACCAGATGTAACAATAAATTTACATTTAAATATCTGAGATTAATAATAAGACAGAACCAGAACTAAAGCTGAACTTTGAGTTTGTCTCTCAGGAGTGCAGCTCGCAGAAAAATCTGGCTCAGGATGAAGTTACTGGGATTTTGATTTTCCAAGAGGAACTGTGCACAAGAGGAGGAGTGTTCAGTGACCTCAATGTCCTCAAGAGTGTAGATACAACCCTCAGAACGTGCACAGAACGTGCACAGCCTGGTTTGTCACGAAGACAGAAGAAATATTTACTCAATGCTCCGGACATCTGACTGCACCTCAGGCTGGAGTTACCACAAAGAAATATGACAGAACGGTCTCAGTGCGTGCGTGCGTGCGTGCATGTGTGTGTGTGTGTTGGGAACAATGGGTCTCTGTTTGTGTGTTAGCAGCACTGTGGGAACGCCAGGAGATTCCTCAGAGGATAGAGACATGTTTCTCTCTGCCAGCTTCTTCCTCCGGCTGGAAAAAATAAATAAAGCGAAGCACCCACAGAGGAGTGAACGCTCCAAATAAGAATCTAAACACGTCAAATATTAGTTTACTCTAGTAAACAAAAGAAAAAGTTTCTATACATATCTTTGAACAAACAAAGCAAAACATGTATATTAAAAAACAGATGAATTTACTGAGTTAGTTTAATTTCTGAATCACTCTGCTATTTAAAAAAAACAAATCCCTCTTATTTCACTGGAGAACATCTTCACCGACTTGTGCAGGCAAATCCACAACAACATATCTTGTATATAATTGACTGACCTTTATTTAACCAGGCAAATCCCACTGAGACCACCGCGCTCTTGTGGGCCTGAAGGCACCCTAACATGCATGTTTTTGATCTGTGGGAGGAAACCGGAGTACCCGGAGAAAACCCACGCATGCACAGAGAGAACATGCAAACTCCACACCGAAAGAGTCCAAGTCCAAACCAGGAATTGAACTCTGGACCTTCTCGCTGTGAAGCAACAGAACTAACCACCAATCCATCAT